GCTGCACGGCACCCCTGGCACCTATGAACGGGCTCTAACAGATTTGTTTCTCTCTTCGTCACCCTCCAGATGGCTTTAAAATGAATATAGCATTCAAATAACTTCACAGAAGAAAGCATCCTCTAACCAGTTGATTCATATAAAATGTGTGAAAATCAGATGATACCATTTATTTTTCCACTTAGAATTAGTTTCAAAAGTTTTCCCTTTATATAAATGACATAACATGGCAAAACACGCATGTTTCACGTGAGCCAAAGTGCCTGCCGGTCGCTGGTCTATGGCTGGGGGAAATCAGGGCAGAAAGTGTTTGATTAAATGTACACAGTCCGGAAGGGTTATTTTTAAAGTTACCTTTTAAAGTGGGACTGAATTAAAAATGTATATATTCAAATAAATGAAATACCTGAATAATTTAAAAAACACCAAATAGTAGAAGGTTAATAACTAGCAGCTTAATTTCACTTGTTTTCAAACTGTGTAGATTTTTTTTTTCACCACAAACAAAGTACGCCACAGGCTCTTTGTTTCATAAAGAAAAATATACCTCTGGTGAGACAGAATACAGTCCTGGAAGGCAGTCATGTAGAGTCCACTCAAATCATTTCAAGAACCTTCTACTTCTTTTTGAGCAACTTAAATTCTGCCTTGAAATAAGGATAAAGCTCTGATTCAGCATATTTTTAGCATATTTTTAAAATATGTCATTTCATCAACATGAACAAGGATGCTTTTCCAGCCATCACTGCCTCATGATTTTTCTCCACTTTTCGTTAAATTAAAACCCCCTTCTGTTAAAACGGTGATGCTGAGTACGTAAAGGGAGTAATGGCCTGAGTGAGTCCGCCCAAACTTGTGGTGACCAGTTCGAATCCTGTGAAGATGCCTTTGAGAAGAAAGGGCCGGGGGTGTAAATTATGCAATAGGTTAATTATTATTTGGAAACAAAACTGCTTTAGGGAAAGCACTGTCAGTGTGACTTACCGTTTTTTTCATAAAAGCTTAAAATAATTAAGTTGACCCTACACAATATTCCACTTAAATTGTACTTAGGGAGTGGCTACAAATTTTAAAAGTCATTTGTAATTACAGGAGTAATGCATAGATACATGTACCTTCTAAACATAGATACAAGCTAAAAATTCCATTTGATTCTCATTCCAAAACCATTCCCCAGATATTAGCACTGTTAGGTTTTTGTGAATTGTTCCAGGTTCTAACAATTCGTATATGTCTGTGTATACTCGTATCTAAACTATAGGCGTAGGTTTGGTGGCTTCTTATTGACACAGACTCACTTATTGGCCCTGCAAACCTGCACAGAGTGTCTGCCTGCATCTTTCCGTCACCTGTGCTGGAGACACAGCAGCAAACCGGGCAGCCGCGGCCTCCAAGGATGCACTTCCTCGCTGGTGGAGGACAGACAGGCAGCAACGTGGTCGAAGGTGGGCAACCTCAGGAGTGAGAACAAGCAGAGGACACGGAGGTGGGGGCTCGGTCGCGAGCAAAGCTGGCAACCTGCACGCTTCAGCAGGGCTGCTCTCCACCTGCCTTTGCCCAAGGGGTGAACACAAGGCGAGCGTCCCCTAGACTCGCATCTGGCCTGAGAATCGTCACCACACCTGCTGTTTCCTCCGGACGCCCGGAGCATCTAGGTCTCCGCTCTCACACTAGAGCTGACATTAAACACTGGACAGAGTCAAACACTTCTTCCCTTGAGTCCAATTCCTTCTTTTCTCCCTTTCTCCTTCTCCTCCTTTTCTTTGCAAAATGCAGTCAGGACCTAGCCTCCAAAAGCCCCGGCTGCTGAAGGGTCAGTGGGCCAGCAACAGGAAGCAGCCAGCAACGGGAAGAATCGCCAGCAACGGGAAGCAGCCAGCTTGTTTTACCTCCATCTACTGGGCGAATCAGAAACAGAAAAAAGACACGAACTACAGGAAGCAGTCTGCTCAGACTCATAAACGAAGCTACCAGTGCCTCTGATCGGAGCTCAGGCCGGGACGCATAACCCATGCCTTTCAAGTTCTGTAGTCTGAGGAAAGGGGCTTTCGGTAGCTACATTAAAAGAGACAGACCGAGGCGAGTGCAGTGGAAAGAACACAGCACAGAAGACCCGGGTCTGGTCCCAGCAAAGGGGCCTCCCCACCGAAACGAAATATTCGCCGCACCTTGTATTTTGATCAGTACGCCTCGCTCTACGACGACCTCCTCACGTCTGAAATGAGGTTATTCCTGTTCACTGCCTACCTTCCTTCTTCTGCATGGAATTGTTATAGGGCTTAACTCAAATAAGGCAAACAAAACAAACCCTATAAATAGTTGTAACAAATTCCAAGGATGAGAGGAAGCGTTACTTATGAAATATCAGGATTTCCAGGGCCTCACGTACCGACTCCAAACCCACGGCTACATAAGCAATAAACAGCACACGTGGATTGGTAAACAAACGCACAACACTGAAGGGAAGACGTCTCTCCTCGTCTGAAACAGAAGGAAGTCCCGGTGTTCAGCACCGCTGATGGAATTGCTGTAACGCGCAAAAGAACAGGAACGATGGGGCTAGAATGCCGCTACGGATGACGCGGAGGCTTTCCTGCACAGGCTCTGATCAATGTCTGGGAGAAAGGAAGCACTCTCACAAGATCCCCAAGGCCCATCAGACCCACAGTTAAAGGATCATATTTTTAGCTAAGAGAACTGAATTTCTAGCTAACGCTCTACGCAGATTCACGCAGCAAAGGATGACTCCGATCCCTTTATGTTCTAGCATCGCTTCTAAAAACCTTGGAGAAGAATAGCTATTAATCTCACACTAACCACCCAGCCAAAGGATGAACACGGGCGGCTTCACAGGAAGTGTCCGTTGGACTCAGCAATTTCAGATCAGGCTGCCCATACAAGAACCACCCGTTACGACCTGCTGTTGTTTCCAACAGCTCCTAGTTAATCCTCGTCTTCATTAACCAACCAGAAGATAGCGGCCACAACTCTGCCTGTAACTATCACCGCGTTTCGAACAAATGCTTTGTTTCTGAAACGGAGGGGTCTGCCTTTCTAGGTCAGAAATAAATAATTTTTTAAAAAACTTCATTTGCTGTTTGACTAGCGCAAGAGCGAAACATGAATAAGCTTTATTTCTGTGAAGTCAGTGATTTGCCTTATAGCATCAAGTATATGAAAGGTTACATCTTGGAGAAGCTGGAGAAAGCTGTCTTTCCTAACTATTCAATAGGGAACGTATAAGCAAACATGATCAGCAAATGAATACCTTTCTTTTTTTTCTCTGTCTTGTATTTTTGGCCTCCTTTGGGGAGATAAAGAGTGAGGGAAAATAAACTAGTGTAATGAAATGGGAACTCTTCTGCATTTTGATGCACTTTTTCGAAGTCCCAATGTATGTGGGATTCAGTGTCGTACCGTCCCCATCTGCACTGTCAAGTGTCCTAGCACACGCGCATTGGCTTGCTCCCCAGCCCCCTGCCGCCTCACGTCTGACCTCACACTCTACACAGGTGTCTCGGAGGAACGACGGCTGGTCAGGTGTTATGGTCCCTGCTGGTCACTCTCACAGCGGAAGAATTCTTCCAGATTCCCTCACTTTGTCTCGACAAGTCAACCTTCTTTCTCAACATTAATAAAGTAAATTATTCTTATCTGTGTTTTTTTAAGGAACAAAATGCAACGAGAAAATCTTCGTGTTCTATATTCAGGAAACACTAGTGTTCAGGTACTGGCTTAAAAGTTCTGACAATGAGTCAGTTGAAATAACTTCACCGCCTACAGGCTTGTGGAACAATTCTGCATGTGAGCCCACATCTTATGCCACTGACTGGAGCGGGGCTAGCTGACATCACTCTGTGTTAGCGAGTCCTCCTTCCTCCTTTTTTTATCCAATCTTTTGGCACAAGTGTGCATTCATGCCTACTACCGACTGTGTGAGCGTCCTCCTTCAGACCGCTATTTGAAGCTCAATTCCATTATTAGGTAAAAAAAGGAAAGAACAGGGGACAGGATAATAAAGAAAGAGGTTGGGTGGCACAGACGATGAAAACGTTACTCATCGATGCTAAAATGCGAGGTTCTTAGTTCTTCGTCGTAGACGGATAAGGGTGTTAGTGTCAATCCAGGATTCAATACCTGTCTTACCCACATGGGGCCGCTTTCAGACACGTCAGCAATTCTGAACCTTCTCTTCATGTCATTTCTGCACTGAAGTACTCTTTTCTGGCCTCATCAACTATCATGCATTTTCACTTGAAGATGCTCTATCTCCCTCTCATTTTTAAAAAATGAGATGTATGTCTGCTCTCCAGTAATGCTTATGTTTTGCCAAAGCTATTGGCCACCAAGCTCTTTGCCACCAATGCACTTGCAGATGTTTTATATCTAGGAACCTGCAATAATTCCTGGTGTGGTGGACTCTATTCTATTTCCTGTTATTGCTCTAACATTACCTTCTCAGTTCTTTTACTTTTCAAATTCCTCTTTCTCTTCCTAACCCTAGTCACGGTGGCATTCTGAGTTGCTTCAGGGATTAAACAGAATCCAAACTGTGCCCTTGTGTTCGTGGGGAACTTCTCCCTGCTCTTCTGTCTCCTGTTCCTTCCTCCTTCTGGGAGCCTGGCTATCCCTCCAGCAGACCCCTGAGCTCTTCCAATCCCCCCCGTTTTGGTTCCTCCGACTTCTGCTCCCTTTCAGATGCTCCAGAAAGCTCTGGTACCAGCACTGGGGTCTGGGATGTGGGCAAACTTAGTGGGGCTTCCGGACTTCTCCCCGCACTATAAACAGAGGCTCCGAGCTTCCTGCATCCTGCATTTGCTGATGAAACCGGTGAGTCAGAAGGACTGATATGTTTCCAGGGACTACACTTAGCATCTCTCTTTGCCAAACACATCACAGCAATTTGTTTTTGCCAGTGAGACTGGGGCAGCTCCCCGTGGGGACTCGGCCCCGCTACTGGAAACCCCAACTGCTCTGGTAGGAGCTTGTAGATCACTCACCTGCCAGCCTGGTAACGGGCACTGCTGCAGAGCCAGCCGGCATCTCTCCTCGGCCGGCAGCATCCTCTTGTCGTCCGGGAGGGTCTCGGCCAAGGGCTTATACCTGCAAAAAGCAGTGGGGACAGGAAAGGCATGACTGAATTGGTCATCAAAGGATTATCTTCAACAGGGTTGCCTTTGTTACCCTGTTTCTTAAACTTTTCCCATTCTTACTTTATCCTACGTGCCCCCAAATCTCCATCCATTGTGCATTACATTGGACCACTAGGAAACAGCCCTTGTCCTTTACAAGGAAAATGATCTTAAAAGGAACCAAATATATCTCTCAATCCTGTAATGTATCTTTAATATTATCAGGAGTGATGCAAACCATTTATCAAATGAAACTTCGAAGAGGAAGAATATGAATCTATTAGTTCTCATTTAAATTTGTAGAATACTCTTAAAGTACACCTTTGAAGGTATTCCCACATTCTTTGTTAGTGTTCGAGAGTGAATCTAGAGGTAGTTAGTATCTATAATAAAGGGACACCAGAACACCCAAAAGTTTTATTTAAGTGAGAGGTAGAGAAGCTTCCTCCCCATGGAGTAGATACTGAGTATTTTAAAAGAAGGACAATTTATTTTTGGAAAGTTCCTCAGAATAATTAAATTTCGCTCTTTGGCTGAAATTCATGACTATATAAAGTTTTCCTATGGGTTTCCAAAAAAAATGCCTTTCAAAATTATATGACCCATTAAAAAAAAATCTATGTGAAATTTTCATTTGCACTTATGGCATTTAGCCTGACATGGAAGCCAAACAACATTAGGAGGAGGAGGAGAAGGGGGAAGAGCAGGAGGGGGAGGGGGAGGAACAGGGGGAGGGGAAGGAAGAAGGGGAGGGGGAGGGGGAGGGGGAGGGGAGGGGAGGAAGAAGGGGAGGGGGAGGAGGAGGGGGAGGAAGAGGGGGAGGAAGAAGGGGAGGGGGAGGAGGAGGGGGAGGA